AAGTCACAAAACCACAGACCGGTTGCTGGGAGCGCATATTCTAGGCGCTGTGAGTATGCCAAAGGATCTGCCCATATTGTAACGTTGCACGGCGTTGAGTAATTTTACTTCGTGACACTTTATAGACTAGGAAACACGCACTGACATACTGTATAAGCAGTGGCTGGCATCTTGTAGAAAGGTAATTGCCTGCATTTAAGGTTACTGTTACTGGGACGCTGTGGCTCAGTGGCTAAGACGCTGAGCTTGTCGAACGGGAAGGTTGGCAGTTTGGCAGTTCGAATCCCTGGCGCCGCGTAACGGAGTGAGCTCCCGTTACTTGTCCCAGCTTCTGCCAACCTAGCAGTTCGAAAGCACGTAAAAAATGCAAGTAGAAAAATAGGAACCGCTTTTGATGGGAAGGTAACAGTGTTCTATGTTTAGTCATGCCGGCCACATGATCATGGAGACGTCTTCGGACAACGCTGGCTCTTTGGCTTTGAAACACAGATGAGCACCGCCCCCTAGAGGGGGGGAACGACTGGACAGGGAAATCTTTATATTTTGCAGGGGACATTTTCATCAATGACTGTGATGATTCCTTCTCTAGGGTGCTGGTGAAATGGTTAATGAAGCCGCCCTAGCAATGGAATATGGTGCATCGTGCGAGGATGTAGCCAGAGTTTGCCATGCCCATCCGGTAAGTTCCCACGACTTAGTCCACCATGTTGACATTATGGGAATTGATTTATTTGATCCTGCCTTTATGATGAGTTCGAATAACTCAAGGTGGTGAATGGGTCCAGCACATCCTCCGCCTCCTATTTGCCCTACAACAACAGCCCTGTGAGGTGGGTTGGACTGGGAGAGAGCGAGAAGGACTGGCCCAAAGTCACCCAGATGGCTTTCATACCTAAGGGAGGACTAGAACTCACTGTCTCCTGATGATTGGTCCAAAGTCACCCAATTGGCTTTCATGCCTAAGACGGGATTATAACTCACTGTCTCCTGGTGATTGGCCCAAAGTTGCCAGCTAACTTTCCTGCCTAAGGCAGGACTAGATCTCACCATCTCCCATTTTCTAGCCTTGTGCCTTAACCACTAGCACTTAAGACTTATATACCACTTCACAGTGCTTCGCAGCCCTCTCTAAGGGGTTTACAGAGTCAGTCTATGGCTACCAACAATCTGGGTCTTCATTTTACCGCCCTCAGAAGGATGAAAGGCTGAGTCAACCCTAAGCTGGTCAGGATCGAACTGCTGGCAGTCAGCAGAGTTAACCTGCAATACTGCATTCTAACCACTGAGCCACCACGGCTCTTACACCACAAGTGGCTCTTTGAAAGTTCTTCATCTATATCTATATAAATGGCTCTGTGTGTGTGTGTGTGTGTATGTTCCACCATAACTCTGGAATGCCTCGAGCAATTTCAACCAAACTTGGTACACAGATGACTTATTCTCTGGAAACAAATACTGTGGGGGTAAGACACCCCTAACACCCCTTGGGAGGTGTATGTATGTGTCAGTGTGAGTGTATTCCAGCATAACTCTGGAACGCCTGGGCCGCTGAAATGAAAAGGACTGAATTATATCTAGTGTCAAATCACAGTACTTTTGACAATGATAGCGTGTGTTTTGGAAGTTCGGTTAAGATACAGCTGCTTGTGCCTTAAAATGGCTTCTACTGTACAGCACAGTGGGGCTGCCATGGTAACAGCTTCGCATTACTCCACAAGGGGGCTCCCTCTAATACCGGATTGGGATAAACACATACTCGGGCTACGCCAGGTTATCAGCTAGTAAATTTATAATTGATGAAGGTTCTACATTATTGCATAATTTTCCTTATATTCTCCCCATTCATATCTCATTTTTTTTCCTGTCTCTCCCACAGACCGTATCCGAAGCTTTCAGAGAAGCAAATCTAGCGGCTTCCTTTGGCAAAGCAATCAACTTTTAAAGCGAAGGAACATCCGTGGTGGTGTGTGAAAAGCACATTTCCCCCCCCCCCCCCGTGAAACTGACTGAAGATTCGATGGAAAATCGAGTTTTTGCAATACTCCCAGGCCTTAATTAAGTGAACTTTTGTTCCACCCCCACCCCCCAAAAAAGCTAAAATATTTAAACAAATAAGGGGTTGGGATTTAATTAACCAAGAGCTGTATATTATATGACCAACACTAACTTTGCATTATTGATTGCCCGTTCTTAAGTTTCACAGGAGAAAAACGGCCAGCGGCATTAGCGAATGGTTGGAGCGATCTTAAAAGGTCCCATTATGCATTTTCGTTCAAATATAGCGTCTAATATTATGCCATGTTGTTGCTTTGTCATTGTTGAGGAAATGGCACATCCTGGTGATTTAAAGTACACCATTGTCACCTTCGCACAATGCAGTTAACAATTGGAAGTGAAAGCTAGCAATAGACTTAAAATCATATATATATCATATATATATATCAGATTGTAAGACACACCTTTTTGTCTCCCAAAAGGGGGTGAAAAATTTCTGTGCATCTTATAGACTGAATATTGGCCAGCCATTTTTTGGCCTCTGCATGCCCTGTTTTCAGGCCTGTTTTCAGCCTTTTTCAGGCCTTTTTTCAACCCGTTTCAGGGCTTTTTTTGGCTCATTTTTTTCGGCTTTTTTTGGCCCATTTTTCTCCAAAAAAAACCCAGCCCAAAAAGCATCTTAAAAACGGGCCAAAAAATGGCCAGAAATAGCCGGGAAAAGCCATAAATGAGCTGAAAAAAGCCCTGAAAATGGACCGAAAAAGAGCCTCAAAAACAGGCTGAAAAAAGGCCTCAAAATGGGCAGAATAAAGTTCCCAAAATAAGCAAAAAAAGCCCCAATAACAGGCTGAAATAAGCCTCAAAAATGGGCGAAAAAAGCCTCAAAAATGGGCCAGAAAAAGCCCCCCAAATGGGCCAAAAGAGTTTCAAGAACAGGCTAAAAAAGCCTCAAAAATTGGCTGAAAAAGTCCCCCAAACTGGCTGAAAAAAGCCTTGAAAATGGGCTGAAAAAGAGCCTCAAAAACAGGCTGAAAAAAGCCCTCAAAATGGGCGGAAAAAAGCCCCCAAAATTGCCCCCAAAAGCCTCAATAACAGGCTGAAATAAGCCTTAAAAATAGGCGAAAAAAGCCTCAAAAATGGGCCAAAAAAGCCCCCCCAAATGGGCCGAAAAGAGTCTCAAGAACAGGCTTTAAAAGCCTCAAAAATTGGCTGAAAAAGGGCCTCAAAACAGGCTGAAAAAAGGCCTCAAAATGGGCGGAAAAAAGCCTACAAAATAAGCCAAAAAAAGCTGCAATAACAGGCTGAAAAAAGCCTCAAAAATGGGTGGAAAAAGCCTCAAAAATGGGCCAAAAAAGGCCCCCTAAATGGGCCAAAAAGAGCCTCAAGAACAGGCCGATAAGAGCCTTGAAAATGGGCCAAAAAAGCCCCCAAAATAGGCCGAAAAAGCCTTGAAAAAAAGGTAGGAAAAAAGGCCTGAAAATGGGGCTCAGAGGCCAAAAAACTTTCTTCGTTTTGCTTTCCTCTTCTAAATTTAGGTGCATCTTATAGTCAGGTGCGTCTTATAATCCGAAAAATATGCTATATGCTTTAAGAATATTCGAAACTTGATTCCTTTTATCCTTGATCACAATGTAAAGGGACTTTTAAAATAGCAATGAACCTGTGCTAGATCAGTAATCATTTGCAAGCATTTTTAATAACTCCTCTTCTTTTCGTGACATTTTGCAAAAGAGAAAAGATAGATTCACAAAACAATCTATACCAGTGTTTCTCAACCTTGGTGGACTTTAAGTCCTGTGGACTTCAACTCCCAGAATCCCCCAGCCAGCACAGGACTTAAAGTCCACCAAGGTTGAGAAACACTGATCTATACGCATCTGTGCTTGCTAATTTTCAGTATTTTGTGGGGTTTTTTTTTCCCAATTTTAAAACTGTATCTTGAGAGTTAAAAATACAGAGGGCAAAAGTTAAATTATGTTGGTGTCCTAATACAATATGGTTTTGTGTTTTATTATTCCTTGGGCAACGGTGGGCTTTAGATAGCTTTCACCCCCACCCCCTTCTTGAAGATAAAGTACTATATAGTAAGATGGGTAGAGATCTTCTGTTACTCATAACTGCCCGTCGGTGGTGGGATTAAATTTTTTACTACCGGTTCTGTGGGCGTGGCTGGTGGGGGGGCGTGGTGTGCGTGGCACGACAAAACCGCGCTTGACTAAAGCGCGCCCGATTAAACCGCGTTGCTGACGTCATCAACAGGGCGACAACAGCGAGCGCGGAGAAA